AGGCTGTCAAAGTGAAACTTGAAAGTAACAGAGTGGCTTAAAATACTTCTCTGCAGCGCTTTGAGCTCTGACTTTGAAAGGCAGGAGTCTGTGGAACCTGCTCCTACATCTTTCTTCTCCAAGGAGAGATGCTGTTCCCACTGAGGGCAGAAATGTGAGCTCAGTGGAATTCATTCCTCCCTTTTTCTGAGGTCCTGCTTTTGAGCTTCATCCAGGAGCTCACGTTTGTTCTGATCCATGTTTGTCACAGGATATGGAACAGTAATTCTAAGACCAATGAATTCCTTGTTATCTTTAAGATAATCTTGAAGATAACGAGACCTTGGCTCTTGAAGATTGTGCAGTAAATGGGAAGGACCTTTCCTCTGGTTTGATAGTAATCTGTGTGAGCTGACACAGCCTTGTTGCCGTGTTTGAGTGTTTTTTCTGTCTCAGAAATCAAAGCAAGATATTGAAGATGAGGGACATGCGACGTGTCAGAAGGATGGGATTGGTGGGAATGTCAAGTTGTGCCGCCTGCAGCCGCTGCTGGAAGTGCCCATCCGAGAAGCTGAGGCGCAACCCTTCGAGGTGCTCATGCAGTTTCTGTATACGGATAAAATAAAATACCCTCGCAAAGGTAGGACGGCAGGATAAAAGAAGTACTAGCAATTGGGGAGCAAACGTTTATTTTGATACAGAGCAAGATCGAGCATTTGCAGATGATCAGTCCTGCTCTGAGCACTTAATTACTTACCTGAGATAAAAAAAATAGCAGATTTCTATCAAAGCATACTAACAGTGCTTTTTTTTTTCCTAATTCTTTTCAAACATCAAGGAAAAGCAGGTTCTTGATCTTTCCAAAAGGTGTAAAAAAACCCAACCAAACAAACAAAAATTTCATGGTATTTTGAACATTACAGCAACCTGCCTAGAAGGACCATGTATCCTGGGTTGGCTTATTTCCTTTTTCTGGTATTGTTTTGATCCGTTGCAAACTGAGCCCACACAGAAAGGCAGAGCAAGCCAGTATTTATCATCTCTTCAAAATGCCAATCCAAAGGAATGCCTCAAGAAAGGAAAAATCCATTTGATGCATTCATTGAAGATCCCTGAGTTAAAAACAGTTGGAGGCTGAGAGGTAATAGCCAGAGATCTCTCAGCTCCCACACAGCAAATCTAACTCCTGGCTTTGCTTGAGCGATGAGGTCTGTTGGGCTGTGGGAGTCAGACTGGATACCCGGGGGAACTCCAGCTGGTGGGGCTGGGGAAGCTGCAGCCACATGGAATGGTGGAACGCTGGAAGCTTTGCTTCAGTTTCAGTCCAGGATCTTTCCTTTCTATAAAAGATAATTCTTAGGAAAATAATAATTTGTATGCAGTTGTCTCAAGGCTTTCCCTGTGAGGTGGCATGTCTGAGAGCAAGCCTAATTAACAGGAATGAGGGAACCTTCTCACTGATGTCTGCCAACATTGCCAGATCCCTGGTTGCTCCCGGGATCCCAACATTGCTCTCAGCAGGTTCACTGATCCTCAGCATGCTCGTTGCATGACAGGATCAGACCAAAGAAGGGGTTATCACACTGAACTCTCCCCTTTGATACAGGCTTCCCAGGCAGCCTGCTACCCTTCTCCCCAGCCCGTCAAATGTTCTCCTTGGTGCTTACCTGTCTGCTGGAATCCTCCAATGGCCCTGTCCTGACCATTTGTATTCCTAGTTGCTCCTCTCAGTTCAGAGGGCAGCACCTTGGGGATCCATCTAGAGGCTGAGCTAGTAGAGTTGGGCATGCTTATCGAATGGGATTTTCCTGATTAGACACAGGGAAAGCATGTGACATGCAAGAAGGTTTTTCTCTGTCAAAAAGTGGTTACAGCAGATGGCCAGAGATCTCCTGTGAGGAAAGCAAAGGCTGTGGAGGATTATTCCTTGAGTTGGTGTCCCCGTAGCCCCACTGCAGTGGCCTATGAGGGTCCCTGCTGCCCCTCTCTTACTTCAGCCCTCTCTTCTAGACCAGCCTCCGACCTGTACATGCAGAAGCACGGAGTGCCTTCATTAAGGGTCTGTCAAAATCAGGGAGTGGTTTGCTAATACTGCATAAAAACCAAGGACTTCAGCAGAGCTGTTAGCAGCTGAGCACTTTGGAAAATCGGGCTGCTAGCTTCGGAGCTTGTCCGTGTTTTTAGAGACTTCATTTTCTTTTGAGGGTTTTAAAAAATTATGATCCAGATTGTCACAAAATCTTTGTCCAAAAAATCTTTTGGGGTGGCTCTTTCATACCTCAATTTTGAAACTCCTTTTTTAGTATCAATTCAGATTTTGTCTAACCAGCAATGGATTTTTTTTCTTCATAAAAATACTCCAATCGCTGACCATTCTACCATTCCAAATGCTCAAGCTGATGTAAAAAGAAATACTTAGAGAAAAGTTTCTCTTTGTTCTGTGAGCTCTCCAGCATTTTTCTCTCTTGTAATTTCAGGTCATGTGCAGGATGTGTTACTTATTATGGATGTATACAAACTAGCCTTAAACTTCAAGCTCTCTCGACTGGAACAGCTCTGCCTTCAATATATTGAAGCATCCGTAGATCTGCAGAATGTGCTCATTGTGTGTGAAAACGCTAACAAGCTTCAGCTGGATCAGCTAAAGGTAATCACATTTTGCATACAAAGTAACTGGTAAGAAATTTAAAAAAACAAAATTGATGTAATTAATGCTTTGCAAAAGCTATCAGCTTTTTCAAATTCAGTTCTTTCCTATAATTATAGTTGCTTGAGTTATGTTAGAGTGGATTGTTCTGCGGTTGCTCATAAATATTATGTAGGTTTTCGGTAAGTGTTTGATATTTTTGCATATCTGCCCTGTAGGATGTAAAGGGCAGAGTGACTTTGGCTCTTCCTCAGTTCACTCTCACTGCAGCAAGATGGAACCAGTGCATTTTCTGGTCCCACTGTTTTATACAGAGACTGCAAACAGGTTCTTTCACCTGGTCTGATGAAAAACTAAATTCCGTTCTCATGCCTTTGATCTGAAAAACACTCTACTGAAAAACAAAACATGTCTGCGATTCTTCGTCTCTATGTAGTAGGACAAGGCCTTTTAGGCATTTGCTGAAAGTCAAGACAGAGTCGATACCCCCAGGCTTCAGACCATGATTTTCTGTGATGGTCTGGGTCCCACCAACAGTGGCCAGAGCTGATTCTGCTTAAAGCTGCAAAGAAGGTGCTCCACCCAAGTCCAAGATGATGCAATACCTATTTGAGCAGCCTGTGCACATCAGTCGGACGTATAGCTGGTGGTTGCAAGCAGAGTGGGGCTAGACAAACCAGTATGCACCAGCATTTCCTCAGGCACCCTTTATGCACTGGATTTGGGCAAAGGAAAGGCATCCAGGAGGACAGCAGCAGAGTCAGCAGCAAGTACATGAATGCTGGCACAGTCTTCGGTGCATAGGACCATGATGCCATTAGCTGCCCAGCAGCTCAAGCAAGTATCTCGGCATTAGTGGATCTAGTGCCAATAATTTCAGATCAGCCAGCTACCTCCACCTGCCTTCGCTACCAGCAGGGTGACAGGGGCTCTTCCACACAACTCCATTTGGTCAGGATCACCTTCAGTTGGCATCCTGTCTTCTCAAGTGTGCGTTAGTCCTCGTGGGTGGGTGCCATCTGCAGAAGGCTGCTCTTTCTGGCATCCTAGTCATTGTTTAAAATGTTTTACAGATGGGTCCTGGACAGATCCCTGTGGATCCAAGGTGAAATAACTTGGCAGAAAATGGACAGTAGTAATTATTCTTTGGGTGCATTTTGTACTCACCTTACAGTGAGTACAAAAAATAGATTGTATTTTTTGCTTATGAAAGTGTTTTGAGGGAAAGCCTTGGTTTGCACTGGCAAATGAAGTACCATTTTTTGTCCTTTTAACTGTTCAGCATTAGGTCTGGTTCATTTGTCACCTTTCCACCACATGATTTTTCTAGCAAGTTTGTCATACAAGAACCTTCAAGAGCTCTTTCAGACTGCAACGTTTACAGAAAAGGTTGAGGCAAAATCCACACAAGGAAATCCTGCAAACTATTTGTACTCTTAATGTATAGTGTTAAGAGTTAAGATCTCTTCACCTTTCTAATTAACTTTTGGTATCTAATTGTATAAAGAATTATTATGAAATAGCAACCAATCTTAGTTAGCTCCATGAGGTTTGTGGCGTCTCCCGAGATTCCTATTTTAGAAGTCTTCAGAGCAGCTAGATGGGCGACAATAATCTTTTCCTTGTTACTATTTCTTAGTCAGGTTTTTCTGGATGCTTAGAATTGTCCTGAATTTCCTGTTCAAGTAGGAGCCTAAATGGTCACTTAGGAAGGAGATCATTGTTCGATAGTTCCAGCTGCAGGATCCATGTGGAGGGTCGTAAGAAAAGGATGGCAGTTTACACGTGTAACATGGTAACATTTATGTGATGCTGTAGGATGACTTCATACAGTAAACTGTAATTTTTTTATTAATATTGTTGGTTTTTTTTAAGGAACATTGCCTGAACTTTGTGGTGAAGGAATCACATTTTAATCAGGTAATAATGATGAAGGAGTTTGAGCATCTTTCTTCATCCCTCATAGTGGAGATTGTACGGAGAAAACAGCAACCTCCTGTTCGAACACATTCTGATCAGCCGCTTGACATCGGTAACTTTATGCTTTATAAAATTATTAGTTGTGCTGTTTTTGCATTGCTAATGGTTTGTTTAGTCTCGGAAACAGCCTAGGAAGTAAACCACTGCAGACCACCGATTCTTCAGTTGGTATAACTGTGCTTAGGCTGTTTCCCAGACTAAGACAGGGCATGCCGGTTCTTTTTCCAGTGAGCTTCAGTCAGAACATAATCCCCATCAAAATAATGAAAGGTCATGTTAAATATAGTCGTGTTCTACTTGCAATAAAATATCCTGATTCTGTTCAGGGAGAGAAGAGGCATGAGATGATTCAAAGAAAAGGCAGTGGACATTCAGTTTAGGTGGACTAGAAGGTAACAAAGCTGAGTGGGAGGGTTGGCCTGCTCATAGGTTTTCACCGAAGAAGGAGCAGGAGTAAGGCAGATGATCTTGTGAGTAAGCCAGTGCTGACAAGGTAGACCTTATTGTGAAAGAAAGAGGGGGAGAGGGGAAAAAAAAGCATGGAAAAATTAACCAAGAAAAAGAAAAGTTAATGGAAGAAAGGAAGAGAAGATATGGAGGAGAAGACTTTGAGAAGATGAATAACCTGTACTAATGGTCATGTCTTTAGTTTTCATTCTGTGATTGTGCTGGAAGGAGAAGATTTGATTTACAGTTCTATTACAGAATTCATCAAGGACTGATTTGGGACTAGCCTTATTCAAGACTTCATCATCCCAACACACACAAAAAAAGGAATGCAATAATGAGATCAGCTGAGGCCACAAAATTCAGAGGCATTGCCAGTATTGATTTGGAATACTGCACAAAAAGAATTGGGGACTGGAGAAAAAGAAGGGGAAGCCAGTCCTGGAAGGTCAAGTAGAAAGCCTTTGGCTGGCATTTGTCCCAGGGAGAAGAGAGGTGCACCCTCCAGGAAGATGGCATAGCCAGCTTCTGTATCTGGAGCTGGAACGGTGCGAGAGACCCAAACATCAAAAAATTGAAAGATGAATTTTGAAAATATGAGTGAATTTGGATCACACTTGAATGTGCTCTATTTCTCAGTTATTGTGTATTTTCAAAGGTTAATTAAAATGTTGGATAAAAGAAGCCTTTATTGAGGATTTGGGAAAGCTTTTCCATTAAGAGACAAAATTTTATATTCCTGGTGGTTGGAAATGAGAAGAAAAGGGTGGGGAAAAATCAGATTTCTTTGTCTAAAGAGAACACCTTTCAGCATGGCCACTGCCGGTGTTTGCTGTCAGCAGTTTGAAAGCAGAGCTGCCAGGTTTGTTTCTGGGATGGGCAGTAGGTAATGGATTGCGATGGGGAAGGATGAAGCTCATTTTGCTCCAAGATTACGAGGAAGGGCCTGCCTCAAACTCACCCCAAGGGTCCCAAAGGAAAGGGGGGCTGGAGCTATGGCTTGGCCATATATTAGTTTGATAGTACCTGGTCACCTGGAACTATCGTGTCTTTAGCTATTTCATTATGTTAACTTTCAGGAACATCTTTAATTCAGGACATGAAGGCTTACCTAGAAGGAGCTGGGACTGAATTCTGTGATATCATCCTTCTCTTAGATGGCCACCCACGGCCAGCCCATAAAGCAATCCTAGCAGCCCGCTCCAGGTGAGTAGCTGTTTACTAAAACAATAACAAATATTGTATGTGTAAAATTCAGTGCTGTGCAATCTGTGGGTCAGCTTGCTTTTTTTAGAAGACAGGGAGGAACTTTGTATCTGCATGAAGTGTAAGATGCAGCTTTGCTCAATGAGTGTAATAAGCCTTTAAGCAACAGCGATTAAATATTTTTTTCAATTTGATACCCAGCAGGGAAAGACAGGAGGAAATTAAAATTGTAGAGATTCTCTAGAGGATGTGTAAGAAGGTGTACTGCAAGACAAAGAATCTGTAAAGTCACAGGAAGGGAAAAAGGGTGTAAAGTGTAAGTCGGTTTCAGTGAAGTGGAAAGCAACAGATGTCCTCTGAGGTCAGAAAGAGTCTTCTGATGGTGAACATCCATTTTGAGTCATGTGAAACTTGAATCTCTTTCTCACTTGCTGATATTTAAGACTGGGTATGAATAAGCATAACAAAAAGTGGTGCATAACAGAGACTAGATTGTTCCCATACGTTGTTGCAGAGGCAGGTTCACCCTTCTGAAGACAGGCAGTATTCTCCCTCCTCAGTATGTGGGTGAAGTGGGTTTGTCCCTCGCTTGTGTGTTCTGTGTACCTGCACCTTTATGTTCTGCAAGTCATTGTGTTAACATAAAATTTCTATTTCAAATACTGTCACAATTTTTTTCCAGTCCCAGTAAAAATATTCAGTATTAGTTACCGTGGTATTTTACCAGAAGCATTTCACAGCTCTTAAAACAACTCTGCATGATTGGCAGCCTGTAGATACCAAGGAAATTCATAATGCTTTAAGCTCTCTACTGGGTCTTATGCAAATTAGACAAAAATCAAAGCACCATGTGCCCTAATTTTCAAGAAACAGAGACAAATTTCAGGTAGTGCTGATGGAAATTAGGGGGATTATATTTTGAGTTCTCTCACAGGCAGACATATATGAAACAACAATTGAGCAGTGTTTTTGCCCAGGTTGTCACCTGAATTTGCTTTGGAAGCTGTAGGGCTTAAGAGCAGCCTTTGAACAATACTGGGTTAAACCATCTGTCTGCAGAACAACTGTCTGCAGTGTTACATCAGTTTTATTTCCTTTTCCAGTTACTTTGAAGCCATGTTCCGTTCCTTCATGCCAGAAGATGGGCAAGTGAATATTTCTATAGGCGAAATGGTTCCCAGCAAGCAAGCATTTGAATCCATGCTTAGATACATTTATTATGGAGAAGTAAACATGCCTCCTGAAGACTCCCTGTATCCTTAAATCTAAATTGAAGTATCTGTCTAAAGTGCAGGTACAGCAGCTCCCCTTCCTTTTGCTCTAGATTGCCAGGCACAACCTGGGAGGATTATTTGTCAGGGTTGCATTAACAGGCACTGCATTTTAACTTCTGTCGTTGATTTGTATTTACAATCAGTGCTGTTACCTTTGCTTTACGTTTTTTCCCTTAATGAGATTAACAGCTACCTCTTCGCTGCACCTTACTATTACGGCTTCTCCAACAACAGACTGCAAGCCTATTGTAAGCAGAATCTAGAAATGAATGTCACAGTGGAGAACGTACTCCAGGTAATTGTCCCCAAGCAGCTTTAATTAGTTGCTTGACTTAGGTACAGGAAAGCTGAAGGGTCTAGTCAAGTGGGTGCCCCCAGTGCCAGGTTCACTGAGTCGGTCCAAACTGACATCTGCTGAGACTGCACAAACCCTTCTAATGACAGTGGCCCTGCGTGGTTAACGTGTGCAGGAGCGCAGCCTTCAGCGGCTTTATTTCCGTATCTGCTTTTTGTATCACTAGTGCTCCTGTGCTGAAGTGTTAGCAGATATTGCTGAACTGGCCAACAGGATGTTCCTCCTGAGCTCTTTGTCCCCCATTGTAGACCAGTGTTTCTAGAGGGCTTTTTAAGATGTACCATGTGCTCACAACTCCAAACCTTTTTTCGGTAGACATTTGTACCAGGGCAAACAGTGATGTGCAGGTGACGTTAGTCTTATTTTATCAGTAATGCTGACAGGATCTGGCAATGAAGTTTAAGCTAACAAAAAAATATTCTGTGATAAGAAAGCCTACAAAGCCATCTACTAGGTAGGCAGACCGAACCCACTGCTCTTGCCGTGCCAGTCTCACTGGGGCACTTCAGGGAAC